GCAGGGCCCAATAACCTTTGCTGAAGATGGCTTTGGAAGTTGAAATTGGCGAAGATGCTTTGGAAGTTGAAATTGGCAAACAACGCCGGGATTTGGATCTAGGCCTGGGTCATCGACATAGTGACTCCATGAATAGCCCTGTGGGCTAAGTGATATATTGTTTTTAACCCACGAAAAAAAAACACGCCAAATAAAAAGCCCAGATAAATCACTTGCGTGACTGTCGCCGACAGGGGCGGTCTTCTTAATAATAAATACATTTGTCTAAAAGGCGCCGGAGTGGGACGTCGGAGTTCGAACAGTTGTCGAGGATTGGGATCACGATGCTTGACGACTCAAAAGTGCTCCCCACCATATAGAAAATGAGGTCGCGCCACACTGCGAAATGGAATCTAGAAAGGACAGATTTTCGATAGGTTTACCAAAATGAGTCGCTGAGGCATGAATACATATGATGTACCCGCCTGATGGCATGAATCGAATCGTCAAATCCCAAAGAGCAAACCTACCAAATAGCAGTTCGCCTTTTATTCAGCAAAGCTAAAAGTGTGCTACTACACTATGAATTCACAGCGTCAGGTATTAATTCGTAACTTCGCGTCGTAAAAACGAGTGGATTTCAGCAAAAAAAACTCGCGCCTTAGATTGTCGAAACAGTCGCCGTCGTCGATCACGTTCTGAAAGCCCTCCCTACTCTTTACAGCGTTTAACTAACTGCGTTGATTTCACCATTAGTTTATCAGTACGAACTTCTTTTGGAAGGCGATGAGTTCGCTCTCATCCAGTTTGAGGCTGCGCCAAAGCGTTTGGATTTGTTCTGGTTTCATGCCTCGTTGGGCAAAGACCGAAAAGAGATCCTCCGGTGTCTTTTTCTGCTTCAACAAGTTGTTGGCTGCCTGCCTTTCTGACTTTCCGAGTCGAATCCAGCGGTCGAAAATGTTATCCAGACTTTTCCCTCTCGTTAACCACGCACCGGTGATGGCCTCGTCCGAAAATCCACCCTTGAGCAGTTGTTGGTAGTTCCGCAACAACTGCTTGTCCTTCAGCTTGGTTTGTAACAGCACTTGCTTGTCGATTAGTTTCGTTTTTCCTTTCTTAAGCGCCTCCGTAAGCTTCGACACACCTGAGAAGAGCCTGTCTTCATCAGCGACATCATCGACAATGGTCACGGCGTTGTCAGACCTTAAAAGACGTTTGCCAGAGGCATCGCGATATCCACCAGCAGCGTGTTGCGCAGCTGTAACTTCTTGCTTAGAGACAAAAGCAAATACAGTATCACACAACGCGATGACAACACACACCGCTAGCAGCAGTAGATATGTCAGACGCATTGGCTTCTTGTGTTGAGGTCTTGAGTTGTAAGTACTACAATCGCTTATATGAGCTTACAAGTCCTGTTGTAGGGAACCATGCGACGTAGATACTTTCAATTAAAGCGATTGTAGCACGCTTGCTATTTTTCGAATACCGACAGCAGTCTGTCCTAACAACTACGGCTATGGGTCAGAATAAACCTATGATTACCATTAACATGCTCCGGGTGTGTCCCAAAATTTTCCACAATAAAGAGATAGAGCGTCTTTATTGCAACATATCTGTTGCGCCTGCTTTGCATTCGCGTGTGTATCTGATGTAGCAGCGGATGATAGTTAAAAAAAAAACTGTAGTATATCAGGGGCTGAACACAGGATCGGGGAGCCGGCAGTGCTCCCAAGTTCTTGCTTATTGTTTGGTAAATAGCTGAATGAAATCTAAACTAAGTCTACTTCAGTTTGAAGGCGCTGCTTCCAGTGGCGGCTGCATTTGGTTGGACACGGTGCGTGCCATCACGCTTGCCGTTATGTATCTGCCTAACAACATGATTGTCGATACATGTAAACGTTATTTTTCTGGCCCTGGATTGTGCTTAGGGGTCGGAGACCAGCCTCCATGCCATTCGTAACTGAGGTAGGCCGGTAAATACCGGTACCTGCACGTAGTGCAGGGCACTAGAGTATCCACACCTCCTACAGTACCAATGCTTGTACACGCTATTGGAATAGAAGGCAGCGCGCCTACAGAAGCATGATTGATG